CAAAACAAGGATGCAGAGAGTCTCAAACATTTTTCCAGATTCAAAATAAGACTCCAAAATTGGATTATTCCAAGCCATGCTTTAGGCTTTGAAACCCTAAAAAAGAAGTAACCTTTGAACTTTAAAAGCAAGTCTCGAAGATAAAAAGGAACTTTCATCCAATCCACACAGATGAACATATTTTCCACATCCATCCAAGAATTTCATTGGCGCGAAAAATATCTGCGCCATGTGCTGCAGTGGCGTTGGATGATTGTGATAATGAGTTGTTAGAGAGAGAGTGTAGAGAGAAGCTTGGAAGGAAGGTGTGACGTAACCTGCACAGATAAAAAGACGGGTGTACTGACCCGGCCCGGGCTCGTATGTCCAAGCTGGATGGCAATGGGCACCCATCCTCTGCCCACTGACCCCATATTATTAAACTTATTAATATTATTAAGTTTAATGTTCTTTTTTATTACTCTTTGAACTGATTGAGTTGGTGGGGTAGTAATTCTTGAAACTAAATGATATATATATATATATATATACATACATACATACATACATATGGAATTGTTAGATTGATCCAAGCATTTACTAAATTAACCCATCCAAACTAAAAGTAAAATTTGAAATAAATAAGTAAGTCTAATAGAATGAACTGGTGGAAATACTTTATTCAGATTACAATACTTATCAAAGAGGTATACCAATTTAATTGGCAATGTCAAAATCCATCTCAAGTTTTTACACAGATAGTTGATTTAATGTTGGTTTTCTAAAGCAAACAATATCATCCAAATATTTTTTATATTAAAATGTGGCCTTTTGTTTTCAAATCGTTTGAGAAAATTTGTTGAAAAAGTGAATTGGCCCTTATGTTTGCATCTCATAACAAAGTGCCACTTTTTTCTTATGAAATCCGTATAGTTCTCTGTTGTTACAATTATATTTTTGAAAATTTCAATAATTTTTACAACAATATTTTTGCAGATTTTTCAAATTTCTTTTTCATTTGACTAAAACCAATTATACCTAGTAAATTTACAACTTTGTTTATAAACTTTGTAGAATCATTTTTTAAACCTTTGCACTCATATATGATTGGTTTTGACAAAAAGCTCTTGGTACATACTTTATAAAATGTACATCCAAAATAAAAGATCATAATACATTAGAAAATGATTGTACTTTTATCATTTCAAAGCGCATTATTGAGAATAGTCCTTTTTAAAAATGAATGCAGGCTACTTCATTAATATTATATAACAGTTTTGCATCATTTATTTTGGGTATTACATCAAATCAAAATCCTCCCTAACAAGCACCCAATACATTTTTAACATAATATATATATATATATATATATATATTAGATTATAATACCAACGTATTAATGTTCTGTAGTTCTAAGATTTAGACTAACATGTAAAATACTTCAATGCTTTCTTTACAAGTTGTTTAATGTCAAAATACATAAGCAAAACTAAAGTAGTATAGAACACAAATCACTAAAAGAATCCATACGAGTCTATTGTAACTAATGTAATACTAAAATTGATTCATATGCCGTAATTTAATCATAACTGTATCGAAGTAGTACATGTATTAATTCCATAATTGTGAGTTTACAACCTTTGAAATTATATTTTTACTTTTTGGTAGAAGTAATTTAGTTAAAATATTTTCTGTGTTTTTTTTTTCTTTTTTCTTTTTTCTTTTTTTTTTTGCAAAATTTATATTGACATGTTTTATACTTATAATGAAAAATCAATACATAATAAAAAAATGCTATCTTTGCATTTCTTTTATGCCATTCATGCTATCTTCTTCATTATGTATACATTTATGTTATCACTTTTTCTTTTTAGGAATTTAAAAGCTGAAAATGGAAAATATACATTATCATAATGAGAAAAAATATATAAATACATAATTTATCTGATAGAGATTTTTACATTGATTACAATAATAGTGAAGTTATAAGCTAATATTATGAATTTAAATTAATGTTTTTGTAGAATGAAATTCACTTATCACTTTCTGTAAGACATTCTAAATTTTCTCTCTTAATAATGCAATACACTGTTACTTAGTAAGTGTTGTTAATTAAAAATGTTTTAATTTATCCTCATCTAATTTATAAGTATCGTATATTAAAGATGTTATGATCAAAATCACTTAGTTAGAAGGCATTCTGATTTTAACCCAATTTAAATTTCTAAACATGATACTTCTTATGAATATAATATTTATCTTTCAATAGTTTGGATATTTTAACATGTTATATTATAATTTTTAAAAATTTAAAATTTAATTTGTGCGTATATATATATATATATATATGATTTTATGTGTATTCTTGTTTAAATTTTCATTACTCTTTTTAAAATTATATTTTAAGAAACTAATGATAATCACATAATCAGTAATTTTAATATAAATATCAGGTCAAATGAGTGTGTTATATTAATACAATGTTGACTATATTGGTGATAAAAACTAATTACAAAACTGCATATGTTTATATATATATATATATATTTATATATAAGTATTCATGTGAAAATATTCACATAGAAGCAAAACTTCATATTTATATACAGAAATTCCACGTGCAGTGTTCTTGCTTATTACATAGTAGTTAAATTTGTTTAAAAAATAGCTTGAAAGTACTCTATAAATCTAATGGTTTTAATTTTTTTTCAAAAAGAGTGTTTATAATAATTAATCAATATTGGCTGTTGCCCAGTTTAAAGTTACAATAGCTTTCTAACCTACCTCGTTTTTATAATTTAATTTGATTTTCTTTAATATTATTGAAGGTTGTAACAGATTTGATTTTTCATTCTTTTATTGAAGAAATATCCAAAATCTGCTGAGTAAACAAGCTCTGATATTTTGATGCAATGCAAATATTAAATTTTGATCTTGAAGCTGCTCAATCATGGAGACATGAATGAGATCTGCTGAAATTTCTGTGTTGGAAATCACATTATCTCGATATATTTTTATTCAGTAAAAAATCAGTCTTAAAATTTTCACAATAATTTTAGCGAAACGTTGTTCTGTACATTGTAAACTTGTAGAAAGAATATCAAAGAAGTAATTCTTTTGGAATTCTATTTTTGGGGGAGGGGGTGGGGACAATATGCGTAGAGTGTGGGAAGAAAGGATGATTCTTATTAAATCTATGTGTCCTAATAGAATAGCAAGTGGATTCCCCATCCCAATGATGCCTTTGTAATCACCCAATATTTAACAAATACATTAATAAATCAGAAGAAGAAGAAGAAGAAGAAGATGAGAAGGTACTCCCCCAAATTGAATCAGAACCACAACAACACTTTCTTTTTTCGCCTAGAAACCAACTTCCTCCTTGCCTCTCTGCAAGTAACACATTAATATATATATATATATATATATATAATGGTTGAAATTTTATAAGAAGTAGCTCTCGCATACACCCCAATGCATGAAACAAAGCCTGTGCATAATCCTTCTCCTACTCCCTGCAAAAAGGCATGTTTGATGAATAGAGGAGAGCATTTCTTTAGCCTCAATACTAGAACACACATTTTTATTCATTTAACTGGTCGCCATGTGGTCAATGGATAGGAACCGTGATGTTGCTGATAAGGATGGAACAGGTGTGGCTGTCTTGCTGCAGGACCAGAGATCATCCTATCTAGATTATATATATATATATATATATATAAAGATACATATATATAGATATAAAGATATATATAGATATATAAAGAGATATATATAGATATAGATATATATATAAAGATATATATATATATATATGCACGAATAACATCTGTCTGTATATCCACACAGTTGCATTGAATGTCCGACATGCTCACTGGTGCTTTGCTGGATGTTGCATTTTCAACTCCTTTCGGACAAGCTCTGCATGTGAAATAGCTCAAACCACTGCAGCCGAAAGAGTTGAATCTGCAATGCACGTGAAGAATTCAAGAAGGCTCGTGAAGGTTGAAGTTAGCGCAAAGTTATTGCAGAGTTTCTTAACAAGACGGAAAACCATGTTTGATCGTCATGGTGCAAGCGCAACAGCATGAGCCGAAGATGGAAATGTCCCTTCAGGTTCTTCTACTGGTAACCAGAGTCTCGACCCTGATCCGAGCATGTGATACTGCATGCTGAGGTGCATGTCAGATGTTGATGAATTTACAACAAACTGGGTTAGTCGAGGCTTGGAATGCTGGAAACAGTGATTTGCAACACACCCAGTTTCTGCACTTCAACTAGTACTGAGATTTCAGTTTTCGGGTTTGTTGGTTATGAAATGAGCAAAAACGAGGCGTGGTTGAGGTAGCTCTGATCCGTGATGGTCTATCAAATCGTCGATTAGCCAGGAGATGAACTTTGTGCACTATTATGAAGAAATAAAAGCTCCACAGATTGATGGAATTTCCAGCACCAAGGTTTCTGTTTTTACGCCCGAAGCAAAAGAAGAAAAATAATCCATATACAAATTTCACAGAATGATACGAAAGTCGTCTGCTCCTTCCCAGAGTTGATTTTGCAATTAGAAATAGCCGCTATGTTTGTTACAGGAAATAAATACCTTGGACAAACGCTTCTTCAAACGCACAGGAATCTCGGCAAGTAAATTGACACTCGAAAATGTGTCATGCGAAGACATTCTTCCGTCATTGATATTTTTCGTGGTTTTGCAGTTAATTGGCACAAATGATCCCAACCTGGATCACGACGAAGACCAGATATCCTTCAAGCAAGTCGCACACAGTCCACATGGGATAGTTTCGAAGTGCTGATTATTCCTGAGAATTCAAACTGAGAATTATTGAATTCGTTCGAGATGAAACAAGTACGAAGTTTTTCGGAACAGTCCAATGGATCCTACATTAGTTGCTCCATAAAGGTGGAGCTCAAGTGATAAGAGAGACGATACACATTTGCTACATTGATTGGGCAACATTAAGGTATTTCTTCAAATACAGTAATAAGTAGCAGTTGCACATGAGTTGATTAATATAATATTGAATACTTAGATTCTTGCGAATGAGAACATCTGTATCTGAGGATTGTAGTGGTGGGTGATGATGTACCGCTGTTTTTAAACTTTACTTCATATGAAGTACCCAATGGAACAAGTTCTCCCAAAAGAACCGTCGGGGAAAAGTTTTACCAAGAGCAAAATTCTGCTACTTTATGAAAACTCAGATTATTGCTACTTTTTGCGACATGATCAGTAACTTGTGATTGCTGCATTTCGGGCTGTCGAGCATGGATTTCATCAAGTTCATGCATTTTCACATGCACGAATCAGAAACAGCAGATGCAGCTACCATTGCAAGCATTCCAAAAGCCCCGACCACATTATGTTTGCGCCATAGATGTCCGAAATGTTATATTAAAATGAGGAAACAAAAATGAACGGTTCAACGAACACCGCTGCACATGCAACGAGCTCTCTTTCGCCATGCCCTTCCCTATGCCAGGCCGTTGTCGCCCGATGCTTGCGGCCACCTTTCACATGGGTGCGTCGTGCTTCGGCCGTCAAAGCGAGAGAATAATCCTACCTTTGCCTACCAGTGGAAGCTCCATTAGCACTGCATTCTAATCACCGCCTGCCCAAAGACAAATTCCCCACCACCATCCATCAATTACCGCGAGCAACACCCCAGAGACGAGTGATTCAATACCAGAGTGGAGGGGGAAGGGATCTAAATCCGATTCGCGAACCTCAGATCACGACCCTCAGATCGCGAAGGTCAAAGCCCACCCCACGGGTTCCAACCCCGCTAAGCACCACAAAGTCCAGTCAAAATCCCGGTGCGCCGCGATGCATCTACTATATTTAATCACATGATCCTGGAGCACCTCCGAGGTACATAGGAATCCACCAAAAGGAAAAAAACAACAAAATAATCAAAAAGAAAGGACGAATTCCACTAGAATAGCCCTGCACGTCGTGCGTAGGGGCGGAGACCACTACCGCAGGTTCGTGATGCACTCACCCTCAAGGATACCGTTTTCAGGAAAGCCCAGAAAAAGGGCAGAGCTGCGGGGAATATATCCCTCAGGACATTCTCGCGGCAAATCCTGCTCCTATTCAGCAGCAGCTTGCGATGCGATGCGATGTGCACTTTCACCCTCCACCAAGCAGAGGATCTGATTTGGTTCGTTGGGTCTGCTCACACATCACAACACACATACAAACACACCACCCCACCTCCTCCTCCCCGCCCGCCTGTTTGCCTTGCTGCGTCTTGCTTGACTTGTTCACACAATTTTTGCCTGAACGCCTTTGTGCGCAGGTGCGTGTGTGTTTGTGTGTATGAGTGTGAGATTTTGTGCGCTTCGTATTATTTTTATTATTATATATATTTTTTAAAAAATTAATTCGGTGGGGTCGGGATTTCGATAACTAGGATGCGTACGTTGCGTGTCCCGTGCGTGATCGGGACCAGCTGGCATCACCGCCGCTGCCGCGCGTCGCCGGCTACTACTACAGCCTCGCATTGTGTTCTCTGCGTGAAGAATTCGTTGCATTGTTTCGCGTTCACACCTCATGGAAAAGGATAGTGGTCAGGGATCTTTGTCTGCATAGTGTAAATGAATAAACGATAAATGAATAAATAAAATAAGGGGAACCTGTGTCTCTCGGTGTGGACATAGTTCATTTGAACTTTATTTTCCATTTTCAAAAAAATAAAGAAAAAATAAAGAAAAATAAATTGATTATTTTAAAGTTATAGATATTTTTCAGATGATTATACGCATGAAAGGCCTTGTTCCTTGTTTATGTCCTCAATTTTATCTCTCTGTTGTTCGTCTTTGTTTTATTTATTTATTTATTTATTTTATTAGTTATTTTTTATACACAAATCATAAAAATGACAATGAGTGTAGGGAACTGTGGAAGCTTTTTATCATGCATGTGAAACATCAAGACATTCAAGCATGGGATTTCTTTGTGGTTTTTGTGGCAAGAAATTTACAAAAGAAATCCTCATATAGAATGATATACAATTCAGGAAACAAACTAGGAATAGTTGATTAGATATTATATATTTGTCACAAGAACTGGAGTGAAGAAATAGAAAATAAATTAAAATAAAATACCCATGTACTTCCAGAACAAAAAGATCTTTGCGTACTTCCAGACAAATTTGTGTCCTAAGAAACCCAGAAGAAGCAATTTTGAAGACACCACACAACAATGAATGACCTCAAGTTTGAAGGAAAAACTAAATGGATAAAATAAGGGAAAATGTATGAAATGACTCATCAGAAGAAAAGAGCCGTGAGGCTTAAGTTCTGTTCATTGTCCCCCGCCTCCTTTTGATTTAATTGTATTATTTTGGCGAAAGCCTTTCATGGATAGAAGATGCTTTGGGGATGATAATAGCCAAAGCTCTTTTGAGTTTGGTAGAATCCACTCTACTATGCCCTCTTTTCCTGGTCTCTTCTCTTTTTCTAAATTTATTTTGATTTAATTTTTCATTTGACACAACATCTTTTTTTCTTTGTCATTTGTTGAGCATATTTTCAGAGGAAGGATTTCACTTGGGAGGCAATCGATGAAGAGGGGAATTGAGGGCACAAACAAGCCATCTTGTTGGGTTAAACTTTCTTTCCACCCCTACATTCTATCATTTAGAACACTGATTAGAGTTCGTATGGAATGCTTTCAAAAAACTGAAGTTAAAAATAAATTTAGCTAGTCTAGTAAAAAAAGATTCAATAATAAAAGAAATTGAAAAAAAGAAGAAACATTTTTTCTAATAACTGACATAATAAATTTGGCTGCTTTGCTTGTATATTTAGTGTCAACTAAACACAAAGTTATTTCATTCAACTCACACAACCTTCATCGACATATTCCCTAGCATGAGTCACACGCATCCTATATATATATACATATATATATATATATATATGAAGCTCCTATGTAATAATCGCATCATAGAAGTCCACATTAATCAAGGCAAGAGTTAAAAATTTTGAGCCTAATCACCTTAAATCTTGTCATAACTCTACACACTGGTCTTTTCGTCATTTCTCATATCACGTTGAGCTTTCCGTAAAGAGGATTTACATTGTTCATTCACAATATCAATATTAGATCCCCCAGTTGTTTGTAAAAGCTTTGGGAAAAGGAGAAGCTCCTTTTTTCTGCAGCAGCGCGTGCAGGTTGGAGCCATGCTGGTGATGGGCTCGTGGTGGCTGTGGCGCAAGGGCAACGCCACCACGGCCTGACTGCGGCGGCAACGTGACCACCACGCACCACTTTCCGAGAGTCTCTAAATCCATGAATGGCTTACTGCGACAGCCCAGATGGAAGACAAATGGAATCGTCGTCACTTCACGAGAGGACAACAATTCAAAATGGCAGGTGGAATTAGTTTCTGCTGTCCAGCAGATTTCGGCAAGCCTCTGGTCGACAACGCCGCATCAGGTAAAGGTCTCAGGATGGGACTAACTGCACAACAAGGAAGCATGGGTTGGAGAATAACGATGCAGCAGTAAAATTTAACGAGGTCCACGAGTCTCAGCTCCCCGGAGAGGAAGAGAACCCCGACGCAGACCGTTACGTCGCATGCACCAACTGAAGTGGTCAACCATGCGGTCCACTCAAGGGATGGTGTCGCGCCGCCTACAGAAACGCCCATGAGCATGACTTTCATGATCAAAAACGTCATGATATTGTGTCGCGCACCTGGCTTCACGGGTACAATCAGCAGCAGTCGGGGGCTGCTCACGGTCACTCACTTGAGAACTTGATCGACATGGTGGAGTGGCATCGAAAGCTGTATCAGAATCTAGAGCAGCGACAGTACTGGAAGAGGGGTTGTTCTTAGGCGGGGCTCGTTGCGCCGCGGCATTGAGGTTGATGCAAGTTCTCTGACAGGCAACGCCATGTGCTAGAAGTTGTGTAGACAACCTAAACACCATCTGCGCTGCGATTCATACACACGCACACACAGTCGCACCCAGTCAGACAGACGAACAGACGAACAGATTGACAGGCCCCAGTCCCAGAGCTTTCATGTGTTGGGTACTGAGCTCGGAGTTGGTGCAAGTGAATCTTTTGCAGTGTCCTGCTCACATGCAGATTGATTTAAAAAATGGTAATAAAAAAGGAAGAAATTTCAAAAGTGAAACTGATCAGTTGAAATAAATAAAAATAAAAACATAAAACATAACAGGAGGATAAATAACTACATGTAAAATTATAATGTTTTCATTTTTCAATTAAAAAATTATTATATTATGTTATTCTTAATATAATTAAAGAAGAAAAGAGTTTTTTTAATTTAGAGAAAAAGGAAAAAAGATGTCCAATTAATTCACAAAACTGATAATTAATAATCATTTTCTTAATGACTGTCATTATTATTTTCTTATTTATAATCATGGATTCAAAGATGAAATAATGCATAATTTCATTAAACACATAATAGTTTTACTTGGAATTAATATTATAGCAAATCATTAGTGTATCAATGTATGTAATATATCTAATTTTTCATCTTTTTCGGTCAAGTTAATATGTTTTGAAATTCTATTATAAACGAAATCTTTTAAAAATAAAATTTAAGACCACATCACTACATTCTTGCATCAAAAGGTACTTTTTATAAAATCCCTTCTTGAAAGAATCTTAGTAAAACTAATATCAACATATTTATCTATATGGTATGTACTTCGAAATCTTAAACTCTATCACATACATAAAGAAAAAAAGGAAAAAATTAAACCAAAATAAATGAATAAATAAACCATAAAAACTACAAACCAATGAGATGTGCACAATACCAATAAGAAGCTTTAAAGCTCCAATCTCCAGCATGCTACGATGGATGAAACCTCCCAATCTCCAACGGCTCTGAAGCAACGAGACATTCCTCATCCATAATTCATTCATCCATTATTCCAGCTTGTCACGTTGTGTTGTTGCATGACCCACAGTCTGCCACTTGGCATAGAGCCAATTGGAAATGTATACGTGGCACTCAACGATGTGTATGTTTATTTCTTATTCTTTCTTGCGTTTTGGCTTTTGGTAGGTAGACTGTTAAAATGAGACAGACAACGAAGGGAGTTACTGCTACATGTCTCCCTTTTATTTTATTTTATTTTATTTTGTTCATTTATTTTTTGTCTTGTTGCTTCATGTCCCTTGAGTGAATGAATGCATTCCCCATAATATATTTGCCATGCAAAGCTTCATGTTTGAATACAGACAGAACACACACACAAACAAACAATCAATCTCAGTCTCCTTTATAAATTAGCCCCTTTCATCTATAATAGGACACTTTAAATTAGGGTAAACCCTGAAATACCTAATTTAGTTTATTTTAAGTAAACTAGAGATAGATGAAAGTTGTCAACAAAGTTATTGAAAGACATCCATGTCTATTAAATTTGACAGACTTTGTTGAATTGTTTCAAGTGTAGAATATTCTCAAGCAAGAAGTTGGTAAGGCACTACCAATACTGCTAATACTTGTCCTTCTCCCATCCAATCATGGAGAAGTTGAATTTGACAATGATGGTATTAGGAAAAATGGAGTAGCTTGCATGCCATAGAATCTCTAAAGTCATGGAAATAGGCCATTGTGATAAGCCTATCTGACATGAAAATCTATTTGCAAATTGTTGCACTCATCAACAACGTCCTTGTAGTGTCTTGGTGATAGGCACGCACCATGGCTTGATGGTTGTTCTCAATATCCTCAATTCTTTGAGCGTCCTACATAGCCAATTCCAACCACATCTTATCTTGAAAAATAGAAATGTACAATAGAGATGTCCAAAACCCTCATAGATCATAGGGCAAGACTTTGAAAATATTGTCATTGTTGGCATTGTTGTTGTGATTGCTTTAGGCGACAATGGTGGAGATGCTATCAACGAGACTAGCAAACAAGGTCACCACCAAATAAACCATGGCCTTGGCCTTGGCTTTGGGCATTGCAACAAATGTGCCTATCACAAAATTGTTTTGGTCTTGAATGAGGGCCTCCGCATTCATGAGAGCCACACACCAAGATTTATAAATGACTAAGTTTGGGATGTCATCAATCAAGGCCAAAGTCTCAACACTATGTGGACCTTGTACTTCATACAATGAAACAAGTGACTAAATTAAGCCTTTGAGTTAGACTTTTTGCTAATTCAAAAGGATGTTGAATCATTGTAAGCATGTCATGGTGGTGATTAGTTTTGCAACATCATTGAGTACAAGTAGTACTATCTATTAAACATGGAGAAGGATTTATGTAGGCTTCTTTTAGCCAAGAGATTCATAGATTACAT